CCCTGTTGTTCGCCGCCCGCCAGCTCCTCCCTGCCCCCATCAGCCCCCGTCAGCCCCAGACAGTCATCGCCAGCCGCTGCAGGCCTCCATAGCCGCAGCCGCCTGGCGCCAAACAGCCACATAAGTGAAATTTTAATGAAATTGTTAAGTTGTATTGCTGCACTAATATATTATATATGATAAAAATGTAAAATTTATAAGTAATTTTGAGAAAATTCAATAAAAAAATGGAGTAATATAACTAGTAGTTTCAACTATTTATCATCCACCAACTGTTAGACAAACAAACAAAGTTAATCAAAGTTGTTATACGCTTAATAGATGAGCACACATCTAATATGGATTTGATATTATATATGACTAAATTTGCAAATAATTTGCCTATCAATAAGTTCACTAGATGAGCACACATCTAATATGGATTTGATATTATCTATGAGGCGTGAGTTCATTTGAAATAGTGATAAAATTTCAAATTATAAAATCTATAAATTTAATTGATATTCTTATTGAATCTAAAACTGGTGAATTTAGCCAATTGATTGCACAACATATACAAGCTTTGTATGAGAACATATAGTATAAGTCCGTTGTTAATAATAACAATTCTATATCTATTATAAATGTGAATAAGAGTTGGAAATTCAAAGAAGGCGAAAAGGTAATGATTATTCTAAATTGTTAAACATTTCCACGTGAACTCTAAGAAATTAAGGACTAGAAAAAAAGATCCACATAAAATTATATGATAAATTTTAATGAACTCTTAAATGTTAGAAATCCCAAAATAATATAGTACTAAACCTATTTTTAAAATATCTAATCTCACTTTATTTCAAGAATCATTAACCAAAGCCTCAATATCATTCTCTCTTTTCATCCCTAAAATGGGTTTCCCATCCAACATATCATCTGCATGATTTCCAAATACTTATATTGATCTTCCGGGGGGTGATATACGTTTGTTGGTGATAGTGGCTACAATTCCATTAGCAATATTTTTATTATCAATCATTTGGAATTTGATTAAAAAAAAAAAATTTACATGGCTAAATCAATGAATGTTGCATATTAGTTATTTCAATGAGTGCAAAGAGTAATCTAAGGCATGAAAAAAATTCATTTGTTGGTTTGTCTTCTAGGATTACATTTCATGACCAAGTGGAGTTTATCTCCTTATATAAGGGTTATACCTGCCTTTCTAATGAATTATTCCCTATTATAGTAGCTAAATCTTGATAGAAGCCCACAAGTCATTCGTCTAAAAAGATTTCTATCATGTTTTGGTCTTCATCTACATATTCACCAATTGTTTTGTAATAGCAGAAATTACGATGAATTTTAGTGTTTTTTGAATGATTTTGCTTCTCATATTAAATTTATATAATAAATTTTAAACCCTAAGACATCGTGAATCACTAGATAGCAACTATCTTGGGTTAAGCAAATACAAACCTCAATAGCAGTACCCACATGTTGAAAAGTTTGTCATCAGCGTGCAACAAGAACAGAATAACCAAACAATTTAACTTATTTCATCCATCATCCACATTCTTTTCTGATCCAAAATGAAATTTGCATTGCGACACGAAAAATAAGGACTATAGTTTACTAATGTCTTGTGTGTTTTGTATAAAACGAAATTATGATAAAAAAGTAGTGCTCAAGCACACTGGCAATAAGTTCAGGATGACATGAATAACAAAAGCTCATAGTTTCACTTGGCAAACATGTCAAATTGAATGAAGAATGAAGATTCACAAACGTGATCCCAATTAACTGGAAAAAGTTTAAAAATGATGATAAAAATAACATTTTCAAATGTAAGAAATCTCGAGTTCGATAAGATTTAGCAGACAAAGTAAATTTAATGCGTTAATAAATTTGTAAGATTTAGCATTGAGATGAGAATTTTGTGTCAAAGAGCCTTTGACGTAATTTTTCTTAGTTCAACTTTTGTAATTCATGCCTATGAATGGGATTTATTCTCTATACTTGAATTATTTTATTAAAATTAGTTCACTGCTGCAAGGTTTCAACTAAACCCAAGAAATTCAAAGTTTAGCATATTTTGGATTCATATTCCTATTGTATTGTGCATCGCAAACACTGATGAAAATTGTTCTCATTTTTTCTTGTGAAATTTCAAATTTGGACAACTATTACATTGTTGTTTGAAGTGAAAGATGCGTATTTGTTATTTTTATTCATCTTATTCTAATTTACATTAGAGAACCTATGACCCTTAAATATCCTATATCAAATGGGTATCAAGAACCATACGTTGTGAGAACATGCACTCAGAAGTGGGAAGAATTATCGAGAATAATTAATAGATCACCAAAGCGAAGAGGTTTTAATTGTCAAAACCAATTAAAAGAAAGGAGCATTCTGCTATCTCGCACATAATTCTTATGTAATTACATATCTCACACCTAAACTTTTATATTTACACAAATAGCACTCAAATCTTTGAAATCACATAAAAAATAACACTAGTATTTCTTTTTTAAATGAAATGCACCTTTTCATAAATAGGTTTAAAAGCACCAAAGTGCTAAATATGTAAATATGAAAGTATAGGTGTGACATATGTAAATAAATAAGAATTGTGTGCTACATGTGTAAATTTCTCTTAGAAAAATAACTAGCAGAACATAACCATTTAAGCACAAAAAACAAACTTACCGATAGACTTAACTCTTTAGAAGCAAACCAATTTCGCCCAAAAGAACCAAATAATAAATCAATCCTTCATGAAGAACTCATTCACAACACTCTTAGGAGATGAGAAACTCATCATCAAAAAAACAACCAAAATAAACATTGTAAGAAGAACATTAATGAAAATTATGATAATTATTGGCAACAATCTTACGATATTGATGATGACATAACTAGGAAAATTGAAGTTGATGCATTTCCCATCGAAGAACTTAAATGTTTTTCTAAAGAGATAAAGAATATGGAAAACTTTTTTTATTAACAAAGAATGTCTAGTAGCATAAGGTTTGTGAAGCTAAAACTAATTGACCAAATTAACCAAAATCAAAGTAATATATGAACTTACACTTTCAATCCGGAGCTTACGAGCAGTGTAAACAAGCAATGTAGTAGCGCCACCAAAAACAATTATTGTCGCCGCAGCGAATGCCTTGCCAACTACATAGATTGAATCAGTGAATCGGGACCGAGTAAAAGAACAAATAAAATAGAACTATAAAATATGATCGAATTAACAGCTAAACAAGTTAAGAAGTTTATTTTTAAAATGAGCCTTACAATAGGATTCATTTTCAATGTAAATTCATTGATGCGGGAGCTTACTGGGTCGCGTTACTGCAGCCGCTCCAGTGCCAAGGATGCGGTACTATGGCAGCTACAGTACCGCAGGCCAGCCCTTCCCTCCCCCTCTCCATTCCTATTCCATCCCCTTTCTTATTTCTATCCAAATTCAATTCCTTCCTATTTAAATGCTTGCCTTTTTCCATCCCCTTTCTTATTCCTATTTCTTTCCAATTCCAATTCCTTCCAATTCATTGTCTACTTTTTCTACCACCTTCCACTTCTATCACAATTTCAATTTTTTTCCTATTTCTTTGTGCTAGGATCATTTATATTATGTTGTGTTTTGCTAGGGTGTGGAGGTTTTTTGATGATTCTGCCTTTGAAGCGTTTTTTCCTCTCTAGGGGTTGTACCCAATGGCGAAAAGGTGCTCCAGTTGTAACTCGTTCGAGGTGGTGACCCTCTAGTCCTCTGCAATCCCTGTTGGGCATTCCCCACCTTGTTGTCCCCTCTTCCACTCTCCTCAAACGCTGCAGTACCTCGCCCCAACTAGTCCAACAGTTGTTGTAGCCCCAACCAGTTAGCCTCCCCCACTGTCCAGTCAGCATTCGCTGCTGTCACCTTGGTCCTAGGGTTGATTTTATGCTTGTGTTTGTTTTCTTCTAGGGTTTGAAGAGTCTCATTGTAACCCTTTGAATTTGAATAATAATATTTGTGTTTTTGTTGTAGTTTAGGCTTTCTCTGGTACCATTCATTACTTGAATTATATACTTTTTATGTGTGTAAAAAATAGAGCTTATCAAATAACAAGTGTCATTGCACGTTTGAGTTACACCACTAATATTACAATCAACCCGACCAACTTAATTTAAGTATAACACTAGAGAATAACTGTTGTCAAAGGGATTTGAATAATAAGCAAAGTAGATATTTTTAAATGCGACTAGCATGAATTATGAGTCGATATAAATGATTCAAGGTTCGAATCAATCATCCAGCTCTTGTTTCACTCAAGTCAATTTTAACCTTAATTTGGCTTCCTGAAAATGGTTTATAAATACATACAAATACAGACACACAGGCATACATACATATATACATTCAAACATACACACAGACACATACATACATACATACATACATACAAACATCCACACAACACATACACACACGCACACATACACCCTTCATACACACATATACATATATACATGCATACAAACAAACATACACAGATGCATACATGCATAAATCCATACATACAAACATACAAAATATACACATACATAGACAGATGCATACATACAGAAATACACGGAGACATACATACAGACATGCATACATGCATGCATGCATGCACGCATACATGCAGACACAAATATACATCAAACATACTCACAGACACACACACACACACACACAGACAAACATAGACAGAGATAAAGACATGTGTGTGCGCGCGCATATACATGAACACACGAATGGTGCGCGCATGAAGTTCCATAAGCTCCGCATCCGCATCATAAATTCCAAAACAACTCGTGTTAGCATGCATAAGTATTGTATCGCCGAGTCGATTTTAAATCAAAGCCCGAGTCCATAGGAATTATAACTTTATCAACATGGTTCGCATGAGACATGCTCAACCAAAAGGTTTGTGTGAGACTTATTCATATATGTCGTTTTTAGATAATCCTTCCACAAAAATTTATGGATCATGGTCTCTAAGTACCACTAGTTCCTACAATGTCATGGGATAGCCATAATAAGATGTAAACTAAGACAAGCCCTGAAGAGATAACTACAAAAAAGCCTGAAATGCTTTGCAACATGATAATAACCTGAACGGTGATACATCCCTTTGATGTCCACACTCTACGAACCTCCCAAACCTTTATTATCCAAAAACATTTTTTGTGAAAAAAAATGGATAGAATAAGGAATCAACAATCACTTAAATACATAACATGTGTTGCATCCATGGTAGAACAACAAATATTAAGCCATAATTATAAAGTTTTTCTTTCACTGATTAATGTTAGATATCTCAACAGGTTGAAACTCAGTAAAAATCAATTCTCAGATATCCACCACACAAACATTGCAAATTTGAGATAAAAAAAAAGGTCATTAAGTACTTTACTTTCTGAATATCCTTTTGCAACTTCCTTCAATTTATCAGGGTTAATGGCAGAATATCTATCACGCCTCAATTCATTCGCAGTCGATGCTAAGAAAGTGGTTTGCTCGTTTGGAATTTCCCATCTGCACTAAAAATCAACAATTAGATTTCAGCTGGCCCATTCTATGAGCTTTGTGAGTAGTAATTCATAGGAAATTTACATACATACCTCACAATTCTTATGCATTTACATATCTAACACCTAAAGTTTGATTTTTACATGTATAGCATTTACTATTAAAAACCTATGCATGAAATCATGTTTTCCACTTCTGAAAAGTTAGTGATAGTTATATTTTTGCAGTGATATCAAAGATTTGAGTGCTATGTATGTAAATATGATAGTTCAGGTGTTAGATATGTAAATATATAAGAATTGTGTTTTATGTATACAAGTTCCCCTAAAATCATATATGATTTTCCATAATTTTGACTGCTAGTCTGTTAATCTCTTAGCTTCTTCATCAATATCAACTAGAAAATTCAAGTTACACACATAGAAAGTTAAAATCAACGTAGTAAATACTTCTATAAATATATGGAAAATCCCACTTCCAAATCCCACAGGTCCTCTCGAGTCTTGATCAGAGGCACCAATGAAGGAATCATATTGTGAGGATCACATAATTATAAAACTTTTCTTTGAATCAGAGATTCAAACTACGATTTTCAGGAGAAGAAATGGTAGAAGTTATCCTTATAAAATTATCCTTAAGAATTTCGAATTCAATTTCCAAATTTTCACCACATCACAGCAAAAAAATAGTATTTCTGCTACATTTGTAAGCTGAATTATCAAATAAAACCTAATCAAATTGAAAGCGGAATGCACCAAATCATGGAGAAGGCCATACCTCCTCGGGCCAAAGGTGGCCTGAGGGAGAGAAACGTAGGCGCGGAGTGGGTTTAGGTCATCGGAGGTGATGGAGGAGGAGGGAGAGTGACGTGAATCCTTAAGCAACCATTTGGAGGCGGTGGAGAGAGAGGGCTCAGCGACAGCTGCGGTGTTGGCCTTAATGGGAATAGAGTGGCGGAGGATTTCAGGGAGAATATTTGCGGATTCTTCGATGACAACGGTGGAGGTATTGGAGCACGATTCGCCGGAGGTGGAGGGGGTAAGCTTCTCAGCCAGGCGGCCGGCGGCGAGCTTCGATTCCTGTAGGAAGAAAGAACCCTCCTTCGCCGCCAATCTCCCAGCCAAAAAGCTCATGGTCTCTCTCTCTCTCTCTCTCTCTCTCTCTCTCTCTCTCTCTCTCTCTCTCTCGATTCTTGGATCGCCTTCTTAGTTCTTAGGGCAAGTGTCCGATCAATTCTGATTACGATTATTTCTATTTAAAAGAAAAAAAATTTAAGTGGGTTCCACCGAAATGCATCGGAGCCATAGATCACGTGATTTACCGCTCCATATGAAATAACTCTTGGCCGCCTCGATGAAAAAGCAAAGAGTTTTTTTTTCCGGGATAATTAAGTTCACATCCCCTCAAACATTAGTATTTATAAAAAAAATGTAGATTATTTTTTTAAACATAATTGTAAGTGTCACAATCAAGTTATTAAAAATTTGATAAATAAAAAATATGAGTTGATTTTACTAAAAATTTTGATATTTGAGTAAGAATTTAAAAATTAAATTAAAAAAGGTGGTTGGCTTTATTTTGTGAAATATTGAGCATCATGTTGAAATTTTAAGAAGAAAATAATGAGTTGTAACTTGAAAATTCAAATTACACCTCACTAGAATAAATAAATACCCAAAATAAAAACTATAAATAAATAAAAAACTCACATTACAACACCGCTGGCAATAACAGCAAAAATCAAACACTAAGTCTCTTCCGTAAGCATCAACACCACCAACAATATCAACAACAACATCAACAACAACAACGAAACCTAAGCATCAACACCACCAACAATATCAACAACAACAACGAAACTCATAGATCACTAACAAATAAGAGAGTAGCACAGAAACCAAAGACAAACAAACAAAACCCGTAAATCAGAAAAGGACTTAAAAAACAATCAAACAAAATAAAAAAAAAATCAAAGAAATTCACCAAAAAAAACCAAAGAAAAGAAAAATGACAACTAACTTGAGCTTAGAACTTACGTGCAAAAAAAGATTAAAATTTCATTCAAGATTTAGAATAAATAAAAATATATTAAGAATCTGGTTGCATTTTAGTAACAAATAGATTTCATCAATACTCGTGTTAGCATCACTTTTCGATTTCATTTGTGTGGGTGTCCACTTGAGCGTAAAGGGGTTGTGCTTCGCACATATACTCTCGTCGTAGCTCCAGATATCCATTAGAGCTCTATGACGCACACCTTCAAGCCCAGGCGATGGGTTTACACTCTTATGAGGTGTCTCATGGCCCGTGGTTGTCAGGACGCGTCGAATACTCAAAAAGAACATATTTTGGTCTCGACCCACCTACGCCAGAAGGTCGGCGCACCCGCGTCTGGGTAGCACCTGTCCATTTGATCTTTTGGCGCGCCCACGCCGCATCCACGTTGAACTTACGCTCGAAAACAAAGAGTGTGTTGAACCCGTGTCGCTTTTCAGGAGAGCCCGCACCTACCAACCAAACTACGACGCACTTGCACTAAGATCACAGCCTGTTCGTTTTAATCTTAGTGCACGTGTCTGTGTTCATAGGGCGCACTTGTGTCACACGTGTTGTACCCGCGTCGGAAGACAGAGAGCTGGGTGCCCCCGCACCTCGACAGCAACACACCAACGCTGGCCCCAATGTACATGCATCGTGACTTTAGCACACACACACACGCCAGAGCAAAATCTGCTTTGGTTTTGCTAGCCACGATTTTCAAAAGGAGGGACCTTTGGTCCCTTAAACCACACTTTTAGGCATAAAACTAAGAGTTTAAAAGCATATTACATGATTATTATGCTTAAAATGTTTTTAAGCAGGGGACAAATGGTCCCTTGGATGAATCCATGCCCAAAAATGGCAAGGAGGGCACCTTAATCTCAATACCCTTGAGGAAAGTGGGGGAGAACCTACTAATTTGGGAATTTGTCAGTTAAGTAGGATTCTCTTGGAGGTGTAGAGAGCTCAAGAAGAAAGACAAGCTTCTTCTTCCATTTTTCTTCTCCTTCCTTCATCATCTTGGCGAGGAAAGTGTGAGGAGGCTGTTAAAGAGGTATTCTTGGGGAGCTCCTTCGATTTTCGGCCAAGGAAGGAGAGTTTCAAGTCTCCTTAAGAGGAGAGCTTCATCCTCACTTTGAAGAAGGAGAAGGTTTGCTTTACTGGTGTGTGGAAGGAGAGAGGATCAAGCAAAGAGCACACTTTCTCATCCGTCGAGTAGGTGAAATCTAAAACTTGTGCATTTTCTTATTATTAATGCCCCTTAGGTCTGGATGATGGAGATTTAAGGACCAGGGATGTGTACTAGAGAAAATCGTTGGGTTAGGAAGCTTTCTCATTGATTTCACCCCCACTAATCCTACATATTTTCTTCGATCCTTAACCCATTGACCTAAGTGCCCTAGGAGCACAATAATTTTATGATCGTTCAATAGCTTCACCCCTTGACAAAGGGTTGAAACCACCCCGATCTAGAGAACAAGGAAATTGTTCGATCCACGTTCCCAAGATTGCGAAAGCTATGTCAGCAAAGAAAGTCTAAATTTTTTGTGAAGTTTTTTTCTTTTTAAAAAAATCCCTTCTTGTTTTGTCGAACGATTAGAGGTAGGTCTTCTGTTACATTGCATAACTAATGGTAGCTACGACTTCATCAGTGACCCTGAATCCTGCGCGAGGCTGATTGAATGAGTTCGACGTATCATTGAGTGCATGGGTTGCATTGCTTGCATGCTCATTCCTAGTGTCTTGCATATTGCATGTTGATCATGTGATCACTTGGGATCGATCAGCCTCCTCGGTCTAATCGACCGATCATTTGAGGTTGATCAGTCTCACTGGTCTGATCAACCGATCACTTGGGTCAGATCGGCCACCTCGGCCCGATCGACCGATCACTTTGGTCTACTTGGCTATATTTGACCAACTTTGTTTGATTGATGCATGCATGCATGCATTTTTGCATTTTTGCATCATATTAATTATAATGTTTGTTTATCGCATGCTCCTTCATGTGTATGAAAATATTTTTGAAGCTATGTCTGTGTTTTATTTCATTTCATGTGAAATCTTTTGCCTTGTATGCTTTGTAGTATTTGACATGCTTAAGTGTCTCTTTAAGCACTTATTGTTTGGGTGTCTCTTTGAGCGCCTTCACCCTCAAGTGTCTTTCCCACATACATCATCATATGCACATGGATGAATGCTTGCACACTTCTTGAAGACGTGGTCTACATAGAAGGCCACCTGTTGCGCAATTCTCTTACATGAGAGTTGTGCTACCTCGCTGCCTACGACACCGTCTGGGAATGTCGTAGATATTTCACGTTGTGCTTGGTATGGGTCATGGTTTCTAGTCGCTGAATTCATGTGAGACAAAATGTTTGTACCCCTAGGTATGTGATTCTCACTTGGCACGAATCACACTACCTAGTTCGTTTGACACTATGCAAGTTGTATTATTTCCCTTTTGCCTTGGGTCTTGTTGCACCAATTGAATGTTTGCATGTACTCATTTAGGTACCTCTTGCGTATAGAGTAATTCCTTTATATGTATCATATTCTTAATGCAAACCTACTTGCAGCATTTGTCTGCTCGTTGCATGACATCCGGCTTGGGTTCCCAGGGATGGTGTAATTCCTTTTTAGAGGTAGCATGAACCCGGTATAACCGCTTTGTGTGTGTCATATGCATGTGTCATCTAGCATTCACAATTGCATGATGCGTAACTCGCTTCTTAGTGTTTATTTCGATTATTTGTGTTTTGGTCGAACAATCACAATTTGTTGGGTCTTGTACATGTTGTATGTGCATCACCCATTTGCCTTGACGACAAATCCTACTAGTTAGGATGAGTGACCTTTTTGTTGGTCATAATACTTAAACAAGCATAGCTTGAGAGGATAGCTTAGCAAGCCATGCAAGTTTCCGTATTACGATCAACTTGTGTATGTTGTGCTAAGGCTCCAATGACTAAGGTACAACATTTTCATGTTACGGGACCCGCTTTTAATAGTCCTATATTTTAAAGTATAGACACTTTCTCTTAGTTTTTTGATTTGCAATTAGAATGAATGATATGTTGGACATAAATTTGTCTATCTTTTATGTTGAATGTTAGCCCCAACGCTTTCCTTTCAGGTATAGGCAGTTTGCATAATTCCTTGACTAGCTTACAGGATGAATGATATGCTCCAGCATTGTCCTTCTTAATCTAATTGAACTGTTCACTTTTTTGGGTAGATGTAAATCCACATTGATTTTCCATCCTAATGTGTTCAGGTAAACATGAAATTCCCAACATATCTAAACATTTTAATTCACAAAATTTTGAACTCCAAATCTCTGACACCTTTCAAATTCCGTTGATTGCTTCGGTCAACGCCAATATATATGGCGCACTTTGGACAATCCGCCACACATATTGGGGGTCTATTTGTTAACCTCATTTTTTGTCACATGAGACTTTCATGGACATCACCCCTTGATCTGACGCGACGATTGGTCAAAAGGTATTATGCCCCTTTTTTGGCATGACATGATCACGATAAACCTGAGTTTGACTACGCCCCAAAATACCTCGGTGTGGTCACGTATGACCCAGACGTGATCATGCCGCAAAGTATCTCGTTGTGGTCATGATAGGCCTGAGCATGACCATGTCCGGGGAAAGCAATTATCATGTCAGGGTCTATGGCCTTTGTCCACAAATTAAGCCCTAAATCGATACACCCTTTCGTTGGCAGCTATCAGTGGCTCAATAACCACAAAAATTATAATCATCGTTGACTCACCTCTTTATCAGACGACTCTGGGAAACTCTACAATCGCCTTCCTTACCTATAAAAGGGGGACTCTAACACTAGAAATGGCAGTGTTCACATTGTTTGAGCACTGTTCGCAGAGGGAGAAGAAGTGCATAGGGAGAATAGAGAAGGGATTCTGATGAGCTTCTTCCTCATTTTCCTCCTTCATTCAACCTCCTCTCCTCCTGGTAAATTCTCCTTCCTTCCTGTCTTAAATTAATAATTTTTATATTTAAAAGTTTTAAACCCAAGTCAATCAATTTAAAGGCATTGGATTAGGCTAGGGTTTTGGTTCAACTCAGGTCGACTCGAGCCCAGCCTAACCCAAACTCACTTGGCCTAAACCTAGCCCAAAAATAAAAATC